AATATAGAGATGGCCTTATCAATTGAAGTTTTGTAATTTTTGCCGGTCTCCTCTTTATAGGAGGATTTTATCTATCATCCATCGATGTTTTTATGTCCATCCAAATGAATGCTTAGTCATTTGTTTTGGAGACGCCCAAGTGCACCTGGTCAACTTCTTGCACTCCATGCGCTCCAATCATTCTGGCTGGGGGAGAGTACATAGCGGAAACAGCAATTTCAAAGACATGAGATACTCAGCGCTCGTCTAATCCATCCCTAACCATAACCTCCCACACCGCATACCAACAATTTTCACTTCCCCCGCGGAACCCCCAAATCATGGCGAACTCAGGACAAGTAAGTGCAACCTCCCCTCCAAAGGTGCTGGACTAGACTAATAAGCCCCAAACCGCACACAGCAGGTCCCCCAGCATGTCACCGCGCTGCTCTCACACCTCACCTCGCGCCCGGGCGTGCAATCCGCCCTGATTCTCTCCCGCAAAGACGGATCCATAATCCAAAGCACAGGACAGCTAGCCCAGACGACCGAAGAAAACGGAAGCTCTCGCACCGCACAAATCACCCCATCCACAACCGAACCGAACCCCCTCTCCGCCGCCCAGTCCACAGACTCGTCCCCTACCTCACCCACCGTGTCACAGCCCTACCAACCCTCACAAGCTGAGACACTAGCTGCCCATATCTTCGCTTATGTCTCCAGTGCCGAGGCACTGGGTGTCTCGCTATCCCGACCCACGCCCACTGTGCAGCGACCTAGCGACAGCCATTGGGATGTTAACTACGACCACGGGAACGAGACGGGCACAGCACGTGGGGAAGACCGGGATGGCGAGGGTGTCGATCGAGACGAGGATGGAGAAGTGAAGCTGCTTCGCATGCGCACAAAGAAACACGAGATCGTTGTCGTGCCAGATCGGAAGTACCTTCTTTGTGTCGTACATGATGCGTCCCCCAGTGGAGGGCCTGGGGCGACAGGCTCACGCTCCCGGTAGTGGAAATTATGGTTCTATATTGTGAATATGGCTGCTCTTGTGTGGTTGTTTTTTTTTTCCCCGGATTTTCTTTCTTGGTGTGTGTTTACAGGGACTTGTTTTGTTGGCTTTGGATTTCATACATATACCCGATGGAAGCAAAATCTTCGCATTTAATTCATGTTTTCCATGTCATGGCTATGTGTAGGACTGTCTATGTATGGATTGTCAAGAGATAGGCGTCTATCTGTTCAGTTACACCAAATTGCTGGGTTCTATTGCTTTATGGGTGGACTGTACTGTAGGCAACGTGGGCGGCTGTTTGAGTGAAAGCAACCTACTGTTTCTTTCCATATAGATCCGTCGATCGCAAGATCTATGATGTAGAGTCGCCATGTTCCTTATCAGGTCCTTGAGACGGAATGGAAATCGAAGTACAACGTAGCTTGAGACCGGAGAAAATCCGCTAATAGCTCCACTGTTTACCCCTCTCAGCGGGCGAGACAATCATCAAATGGACAGATAGCCAGGTATCCTTCGTATCTTGCAATCCTCTCGTCAAAGAGTACATCTACTATCTAGCCATATCAAGCAAATCTGATCATATTCAATATGGCTTCTACTCTTGATGTCTCGGCAGCTCGCTCTCGATTCCCTGCTCTGCAGCAGGAGCAAGTATATATGGACAACGCTGGTGAGACGGGGCTCCATTTTTATGGCCACGATAGCTTTGAGATCCACGCTGATTATTACAGGCGGAAGTCAGGTTCTCGATACTGTGGCGGACTCGTTAGTCTAATCGATCCCATTATAGATTGCTACATGTATATACTGACGCGGCCATAGCATCCGTTATTACCTGCTGAACACGAATGTCCAGCTCGGAGCTAGCTACAAAGTCTCCCAGACTTCGACTAATGCGTACGATAATGCATACAAAGTGGCTGCTGGGTTCACCAATGCCGCGCCCGATGAGGTACATGCACTATAATCCATTACTTCTCAAGAAGTATCAGAACTGCCCAAGTTTCGGGTGCTAATGCATGGGAAAAGATTAGCATCGGTATCTCAACTACCCAGCTCCTGCACAATCTCTCGACGGCGCTCAAATTCCAACCTGGTGATGAACTGGTCTTATCCAAACTTAACCACGAGGCCAATACCTCCCCGTGGGTCCATATAGCAGAGAGGTTGGGCTTGACCGTAAAGTGGTGGGCTGCTTCCGAGCCAAAGAACCCAGTGTGCAATCCATCTGAGTTGAAGTCCTTACTCTCCGATAAGACCAGACTCGTAGCATGTCCTCATGCTTCTAATATCACTGGTACCATCAGTCCCATCCGAAAGATTGCAGACATTGTTCATGTTTATCCTCGTGTGAGTAATTATGAAATCTTAAATCTACTAGGCTCGACGCACTTGCTCACAAGAACTTAAACAGGCACTGCTGTGTGTGGATGGAGTTGCCCTAGCTCCGCATCGTCAGGTTGATGTGAAGGCGTTGGACGTGGATTTCTATGTAAATTGCAACCCAAGCTTTTGCATGACTGGTTCATTGCTGACCTCCTCCCCACTAGGCATTCTCCTGGTACAAAGTGTATGGACCACACTTGGCACAACTATATGCCTCATCACGCGTTCACGACCAGATCCAGTCGCTGGGGCATTTCTTCAAGCCCACAGATACGCTAGACCTGAAGCTCAACCTTGCCTCGGCTAATTATGAGCTTACACAGAGTATTCCCCAGGTTGTGGAGTACTTTGGTTCTGACCCTAGCATGACCTGGGCCCAGATGGCCGAGCATGAGGAGCGGCTACAACAGATTCTACTGGAATTCTTAGCTTCTAATAGCCGGATTGATATTATCGGTGAACCTTCAGCCAGCAAGGAGCTTCGCGTGCCGGTTATTAGTTTTGTTGTACAGGGAGTGGACAGTCAACGCGTTGTGGAGGAGGTTGAGCGTCGATCGGCCTTTGGGTTCCGCAGTGGTCATATGTACAGCCATCGGCTACTGGCCGACGTGTGCGGATTAGACAATGTGGAGGACGGGGTGGTGCGGGTCAGTTTCCTGCACTATAACACCGGTGAGTGGATATTATCTCGTTTGGATTTTGTTTGACACTAATAAAGACAGAGGCGGAAGTACGGGGGCTGGTAGAGGTATTGCGAGACGTGCTTGGATCCTTTTAGTTGTATATAGCTTGTGTACATCGATATACAATAAGTATAGTTGGGCTATCTGCATATATTTGATCAAGACTATACATGCTATGAAAACATTTTCTCAAAATTTATCCTTTTTCCCACTACCAACTCCAACCGCATATTTTGTTTGCCACTTGGCTGCTCTGTAATGGTGGATTTCTCCACGAATATTTGAACTTTCAATAATCCACACACCACCCTGAAGCCTAACCCTGTAAAACATCTCTTTGTTTTCAGCCTAAGTTCCCACCGTGAGGTCATATGAGTTCACTCCCGAGGTTCCCCAGCTCCATCTGGAAGGCTGCAGGCAACCCCAACCAGCGATGCCGATCACAGGGTCAACCAATCAGCATAGAGATAATCATGGAATAATGGGAATGATAGTGGATCACAGCCTAACAGCCGCGCGTGGATTGGTAAAGGTGCGAAGACAGCGTGGCAAGCGGATTTATGACTCAGTAAGCTTTCAGACTTGGATGGAATTTTATAGCCATTGTGGTGTATGTTGAAACATTTCCATTTTGCTGATTTGTTCATATGGTTTTTATTTCTTTTCTTAAAAATAAGATTCATCAGACTATGAGTGGCTACACAAACATAAGGTGTCACTGCATAGTCAAGTTCATTCTCGGTAATAAGATAGTTAAGTAAATAAGCATTAGCATGATAATAGATATGGAATATATTGGACTATCTGATAGAATGTAGTAGATACCATAGATATCATAGCATATAATAGTATATAATAGCATATAAATAGTATGTTGTCTATAAAAAAAAGGTGATAGAAGCGTGAGTCACCGTCGTACCACACCCTCCTCCTATCTCGGAGTCTCTTGGCCGCATCCGGGTTTTCCCTCCTTCACCCATCTCTCAAAATGTTCCTCTCTTGATTTTATACAGGAGATTTATACGATTATAAAAGAAGTAGAATATTTGACTATATTCTATTTCTATATATACGTTGTGGTCCCTGCGCCTCCCGGCATCTTCCTATAACCCGCCACCCACTTCTTCTTCGCCACAAGTGTGACTGTCTTTTTCCCCTTCCCATTTTTTGCCCCCTCCTCCCCCCAATCTTCTTAGTCAAAACTCCCATTTTAAAGAGAAAAAAAAAAGAGAAAAAAGAGTCATAGGTAAATGTCGTTCCATAAATGCCCTCTTCCCTTTCTATTCTTTCTGACTCTAACATCTCCATCTCGCCTCCCCCTCAGCCTCATCCTCCCGACTCTCTCGCCTCCCTCTCTGCCTAGCCGCTTCAACGACTGCCTTGTACAGACAGCCACCAGCGTGGTTCTGCCTGTCTACGGTCCGTTGGGTGCCTTGATATAAACTCCTTTTCTATCACACGACTCATTTCAAAATGTACCTTATTGATTCATCCGTTCCGATCGCCTGTGTTGCTGTTACCGACCTCCGCATCGTCACCGTCTCTGGCTCCATCTAATACCACCCGGAAAGAGTCATTCTCGCCACGTGCCCCTGCTTTGGTTATTATATCAGAAGCACTTGGTTGATCGGATCGTGAATACGTTTTCCTTTTCTTGTTTTTATAGTTGTTTTCCCCCTTTGACCTCTTTTTTTTTTAAACCGCTACACCCGGCGGTTCCGCTTATTTTCCCCTACGTCTGGTTATCAACCTGGCTCTTTACATTTAAAGGTCTGCCGTCGCCTTCGTCGCAAAGACGGCTTCTGTCTCCTCGGCTCTCGTTCCCGGTTCCCTGCTTAACGGTATCTTGACACACTTAACGGTTCCAAAAATCGGACCATCTCGCTTTTATCCGGTTGTCTTCATTTGAACATTTGTTCACACAAACGCCCTATATGAACTCTACAGTACTCCCGGATATGTCAGGGATGGACGTCTTGGGGTTGAACCTCTCAAACCCAAGTTCTCAATTGACAGCGTCTCACCAAACTCACCCCTATGCATCCTCGATCTCCTCCTCCGCCTCTTCCTCTTCCTCATCTGTATTCTCCCTCGATTGCGTCTCCTCGCAGAGTTCGATATCATCGACATCGACCAACCCGGTTGACGTGATTTGGGAGAATGAGAGTAATAGCCAGTTGGCGGGAAGAAATCCGAATGGAGCCTGTCCCCGGACTTTTGCCAAGGGACCTGCTTCCAAGGTGGACGGTGTAGTGCCATCCGAGCTGCGAACGCACCCTCGGCGCACTAACAGTTATTCTTCTAGCGCTCCCAGTGCGCGCCCTCCGCCATGTCTGCTACGGCAGTCGGAACGGAAGGTGAACTTCGTCGACAACCTCGTCGGTAAGTCTTGAAAAGGACTCCTCAAAGTACGTTTTGTACGCCCGGCTAAATAATATCCCCCTCCTTTTAAGACACCGCATCACAGATTGTTGAGATCATCTGGCCCCTTTCCGCCGCAGCATCCCGCAGTGATGCCGCGACTGGATCCAAAGGGGTTCTTCCTCTCCGTACTTTTATCCAGGAGACACTCCGCCGCTCCCGTACTAGCTACAGTACCTTGCAGGTGGCCTTATATTATTTGATTAAAATCAAGCCCCACGTGCCCACGCATGACTTCACCAAGGAGCAGCCTCGGGATCAGTCGCCTTTGCGGGCGATGCAGTGTGGACGTCGGATGTTCCTGGCAGCGCTGATTCTCGCTTCAAAGTATCTGCAGGATCGCAACTACTCCGCTCGTGCCTGGAGCAAGATTTCTGGCCTCAATACTCTTGAGATTAACCAGAATGAGCTTATGTTCCTCAAGGCTGTCGGATGGCGCCTGCACATCGATGAGGCAACCTTTCAGCGTTGGACTGACTTGGCCTTGAAGCTGACCCCTGGTGCCGGTGGACCCCCGGTTGCTAAAGGTCAGTGCTGGCAGACTGTCATACCCAGACTCACCCCTGAACTGGACTTTGTAGAGTCAGAGCCCTTGACCCCGGTTTCGGCAATGGGTGGGATGGATCTCGGTCTCTCGGAATACCTCTCGCCTCGTAGTCTGCCAAGCAACGAGTCGGTGCGCTCCTTGCCGCGCGAACAAAATCCGACTTACCATCGGAGTCTTCCGCGAACCCTGGAGCCGACTCCGCGCATGGATTTTGCCAACTTGGCTTTGCCCGGTATTCCACGGCCTATGATGCTTCCCACGCCACAGTTGACCCCCAATCCCAAGTGTCGTCCACTCCTGCTGCGAGTGTGACTGCTTACAACCCCCGTCGCCCATCCATCTGTACGGCTATGTCTCAGGCGCAGAATGCGTGCATGGCGCGATCAACACTTGATCAGCGCACGCCCCTGTCATTCTGCCCTCGGACTCAGTCGTACGATGGTTTCCCGGCTGCGGCTCGTCGGTCATCTTTGGCTCGCTCGACCTCCTCGGCATCGTCGCCTGACTCGATGGTTTCGGATGTCTCCACTCTGTCGTCCCGCTCTTCGCGGTCGTCATCAGTCTCGTCCAACGCCTCGGGTAGTTCTGGCTCGGCGCCAGCTCGTCTGGCCGTTAAGGCCACATTGCGCTGCACGAGCAACTCCCTCAAGGAGTCCCGGAAGACTCTGGCCATTGCCTCTCCGATTGATGAGAGTTGTCTGGTCGGTGTCTACAGCTCTCCTGAATATCCTAGTTCCATGGGTTCTTCGGTCCCAGACCTGTCTAATTTTTCCCTGGATTCCAGCCTGAGCGAAGCTGCTCAGAGTCTCTGCGAGCTTTCTGGCGCGACACCTGAACGGCGCCAGTGCCGAAAACGTGGACGTACTGGATCCGACGATCTCTTGCTCCAAAACCATGTGCGCCATCTGGTCAACCTCGGAGCCTCCGGAGACCAATCCGTGTTGCCTGATGGACAGTTCCCACGCTCGTTCATGACGCAACACGGGTCCTCCATTGCCCCTGTGCAGACTGGCCTAGTCTCTGGACCGGCAGGCATGAAACGTGCCTGCTGTGGCAGCGAAGCACGCAAGGTCGCATTGAACCCGAGCCTCCGTGTTGCGGAGTACTTGAATTAACTTGCGATTTATTAGCGGATTTCCTTATTTTCTTAATTTCCTTTGTGCGAGGCAAAAAAAGAAAAAGTCCGTCGTTCTGTTTGTGTTTTTATTTTATTTGCCCTACGGCGAACCTGACCCCGTTGTACATACCCCTATTCTCGGGCACTCGGTCGTACGTATTGGGACTTGGGCGTTTGATTCCCACGATGTGTACGATGTGGTGATGACTGGCATGTCTTCTACTTGCATCGAGCATCTGTTCTCTCACTTTTATTTTCCCCTTTCTTTTATTTACTTTTTGTGATTGCGAACGGAGTGTGGTAGGCATGGGACGGTTATGGTCTTTATTTACTCTGGTTACTTTGGGGGATGGAAAGCGGGCGTCTGCCCTGATTATACCTGTATCAACTCATCCATCTAGGGGATGGTATATCTGCCATCCCCGAGGGTTTCTTGCCCTCGGATAGGATAGTCAATCCAAATACAGCTTAACAGCGATATCGGCCCCCCTTTCTCGTATTCCTAAGCGCCCAGGCAACTGCCCAGATATGCACATGACAAGGTCTGACCGTGCAACCATGGCACTGGAATCCATGGTTCCGCTGTGAGTCATTCAGGCATCAACGGTGGCGCTAGATGTGGCTGTGGACCCTAGGTGTGGCTGTGGGGATATTAGCGGGTACTTAGCTCCTGATTTCCAAGTATAGAGTGGAGCTTATGCACGACACATACGGTTCACAGCCTCGCTTTTAGGAGCTGTGTACGGAGTACTCCGTACCTTTATTCCAATCTTGGGGTGCTTGAGCATATGCAGACAAAAGTCCCATGTCTATCTGCAACTAATTTTAAAATTTAATTCAATACTAACAAATACCATATGGTGGAGGCTAACAAGGTCTTCTTCCTTCCTCAGATATCGGCTTGATCAGATGAAGTACTCCCGGAAGTCACATGCCAATTGTTATTGAGGAAGATCCCAGAAATGAGGATACGGCGGACTTATTTCCGAAATTGGTCACTTGAATATTAACATAGACATCTTCTACATGTCACTCGGTACAGAACAAAAGATTCACATCAATATCAGATAGAGCCTAAATAGCCTTTTCCACATCCATATGTTTCTCCTGTGTATCAGAAACCACGTCCTTCCTATCTGGGTCATCTGCTTTCATTCCCTCGACCACCGTGCCTCTATCATATATCTCATCAGGCAGCACAGCGCGGTCAATCCGAGTCTCTTGCGCAGGAAGCAGCCATGACAACAGCACGTAGGCAATAGATGTGGCAACAAAGCCCAACAACCACCCAAACTCAAACGGATGTACACCGGAGCCGACATCGATATGAGAGTTCACAGAATTGATCAGTCCAGGGAGACTTGGCACAACACCAATAATAAAAGACAGCACAGCGCGCCAGTTTATGCCATACATACTCTTGCCCGAGAAGCCCGGGATAGAGAATGTATAGCGATATGTCGGGTTGCCGGGCTGGTATAGAGCCAGGGTGTCATATCGACGGCGGTTGACGATCCAGAAATCAAACATCATAATTGCAGCAATAGGACCGAGGAAGATCGCATATGCAGACATAAAAGAAAGGAAGTTGGTTGCCGATGCGAGGATTTTCCAGGGGACAAGACACCACGACAACAAGGCGCATAGGATCTGCCCACGTCGGATATTGATATACCTTGGTGCTAATGCGGTGAAATCGTTAGCGGCTGAAATGGAATTGGCCGAGATGTTCACGCCCAGGGAAGCCAGTGCGAAGGAAGCTGCGCCGAAAAAACGACACGCTCGGTTGGGCCAGTAGCTGATCAAAACCGTTGGATCCCATGGAATAGACGAGAGATTATAGTGGACTTGCCCGGCGGATGAGGAGGCAATTCCAATAAAGGCGAAGAAAGTAAATACAATAGGTAGCATGGGGATATAAAGGAGCTGCCAGCGGGGACTGATCCGGGAGTAGCGGGAGAAGTCAGACTGACAACCGGTTAGCTTTTGCGACAATTGATAATATGACAGCATCAAAATTACCATACCTGATTCACAGATAACGTTGCATACACCCCTAGGACCGATGTCATATTGGCCAAGAACAGCCAGCTATACTTGGACCCGGAGACGGTTGGAGCCTGCTGTGCGAATACGCCACCACCGCCTTTCACAGTGACAAATGACCATATCAAGATAGCGATCCAAGCGATGGGAACCAGAATCGATTTGACCGTAAATAACCTGCGCAGATTGTTTGGATGCATGCATAGGAACGGGACCTGGATCAACCAGAAGATCAGAAACCCAACCATACCACCGGTCGTGATTCCCTGTGACTCAGGAATACCATTCGGAAGAACCAAATAGCTTGGCCATATTGCTCCAATCATGACGCGAACCGCATTTCCACCGTTGACATTTTGGATAGCAAACCAGAAGACGGCAAGGATGACTCGTGAAATGATAGCGATATATGAGCCCCAAAAGCCCCAGCTAGCACGCGCAATCACGGGGAATGGAACATGATATATGGCACCCACAGTACCGTTTGCAGCAATGACCAATGATATAATGAAGAAGGATAAGGCGACGATGCCCAGAGCTTCACGATAGGTGAAGCCGACGGCAATCATACTACTGGCGAATTGCCAGGTCGCTGCGTTCAAGGCATCGGAGATCCAGTAAGCTAATAGATAGCATATTCTATTAGTCCTATCCTGGTATTCGCAAAGATAAGCACAAGTACCGCACCTATTATACTGGATATGCCCCATTTACGGTCATCTTTGGCAATCGGGTCGAGATCACGGTTTGTCCATCGTGCATTGCCTGCTGCAAATTCAGACTCCCCCTGCGAGACCCTCATATGTGGCCTTGAAATGCGTAGCTTCATGGTTAAAGATGTAATCGGTCTGATGGGTTCATGGATGTTCTTAAGATAAGGAGGGTTCCAAGCTCCGGTCCTTTCGGTGTGTATTTTGAGGTAACACCACAACGCAAGGGATAGAACAGCTCAATAATCAAGACGATGAGATCAAAAGAAATGCCGGTCCAGCGTCTTCTTATTCCCCAGATTTGCCCCCCGATGTGTCCCGTGCACAACAAGGATGGATGATAAGAACGATAAGCCTACATTATGCAGATAAGACCAAAGGGACGAATGAGAAGAGAGAGCTCAAAAGTACCTCGTAAAATTTGCTTCGCGTGTAGAGATATAGAGATATGCTTAATTGCTATCCAAGCTGCATACACAGGTCTAATGCAAAAGAGACAATCAATGCGATCGTCACTGTGAGCCCTTAGTCATTGGTCGATTCCTATGGAAGTACCTAGGTACTCTCTCTACTGTTTCTCACCCGGCAAACGGACATTCTGCCACCCTCTTCCGTCGCCGACGCCCTCTACACTGCCGTGCGGTCGGATCCCCTGCCACTCAGTGACATTGATCCACCCAATCTGCTGCACGTCGCCAAATCCACCAATCCAGTACGCATGGGTGACCACCAGCCGGGCCCAGAAACTCGCATGAGGCGAGTAAGAAGCACCAGGTAGCCAGACCTTTGCATCAGGATGAGGCTCGAGGAAACACTTCTCGAGGGCTGCAGCTGCGTCATCGGGAAGCGGGGACGGGAGGTTATCCAAGTATCCGAAGAGGGTGACGCGAGGCAGAGCAGCCGGGCTGAGAGGAAGACCAGGGTATACTGGACCGGCCTCATTGAGATGATCCCACCAGTCTAACTGGAGACTGAGATTAGACCCTGCTGCAATGTTCTTAAAAGTGGTTCCAATGCGAAGGCCAAGAACTGTTGGATCGCCGTTATCACCATGAGATAGATCCGATGGCAGGGACCCATCACAATCGGCAATGTACTCGCGGAGTGCGATCGAGAGGCCGGCCACATCCGAGGGGGCATGTGCGGAGGGTGGAAGGGACTCTGGGAAGTTGGTGGAGATGACGCCAGAGGGTGACAGAGCAAGCAGGCGGCGGGCCATCAAAGTTGAAGTAAACCATGACGGGCGGTTTAAGGCACTTTCATCTTCAATGTGGTTAGAGTTTGGGCCGGGATTCAAACTGTTTGGTTGTCCGAGGAAGGCCTGGAGATTGTCCGGAGGTGGGACAACAAAGCCATGGGCCGTGAGGGGTAAAAGTAGTGCGAGAGCACCAGTGAGGATGGAGGCCGAACGAGAGACCATCATGTTAATCAGATAGACGATTTGGCATTGGAATAACTACCGGATGTTCAGAGGAGCAAAGAAGAAGGAAAGCAGAAGGAAACTAGAAGGAAACTTGGAAGTGCGGAGAACACCCGTGGATCAGCTGATGGAAATCTTATCTGATCGGGTCACCTGCTCACCCGCTAGCCGCTAGTGGCACCACCTCTGATTTTCCTTCAGTCCCCGGGTCCAAGTATAGCTGGCTGTTCTTGGGCCAATATTATATCAGTTTTGGACAATTTGCGCTGTACAAAATAAAAAGATATGAGAAGGGAAAGGAGGAAGGAGGAAGGAGCAAGGTCATGCCTGCCCGAGGTCTGATGTCTTAAAGATGTCGATAAGAATATTAAGGAAGACACCCGAAGATACACTATAAAAGATGCCATTAAAATGCACAAATATTAAAAGAAAAATTGACTATTCGAGTAAAATAGAAAAATGACATAAAAAAACACATCAATCCCTCGATAATCCCTCGACAATCTCTAGTTAGACATAGCTTTCTTCCGTCTCCGGGTATTCCGCCGTCTTGACCACCTTATCCTTATCTCCTCTCTCATAGGTTGTTATACGTCGTTTAAGCGGCAGTTCCTCGTCAAGCTAGCAGGTGACGGGCGCGTTGCAATGATAGTCCGTAGGATCTTACATCTCACACCTAGATCGAGCTAACTACACCATCTGGTCGTTAAGATAAAGGCCGCCTCGGAAGCACCAGAATCAAAGGAAGATACTGTCAAGATGATATATTCATCATTGGTATTTGACACTATTGGATTAACTACGTGACAGAATATGACATGGCGTCATATGGATGCTAGCAAGTACATCGGGATCCACGATGCAACGCTTACTTGCGCTTTGGCTTGGGCCGGATGAAAGGGTCTGTCTCTTTCTTTTTGCGTGCCATCGGGGGTCGGGGCTTGGGAGCACCTTGATTGGGAGCCTAGATTGATAATATATCAGCATGAGTAATTAACGGAAAAGTAGTCAGCCAAGAACATGACACTTACACCTGCTCCTGGTCTCGTCGGTGGAGCCCTTGTCGGGTCATTTTCGGTAGGATACGCCTGGCCATCGCGAGAAGGTGTGATGAGACCCTAAGAAATCATTAGCATAAATGAAAGCCAGTTAGTTGATCTAATGAACGGGAAAACTCACTCCTGGTGGGCCGTTGGTTGGCGGGCCCTTTGAACCATTGTGAGCATTGGCCACTGGGTTGGCGCGAGGGGGGCCGGAAAGACCCGGGTGGCCACTAACTCTTGAAATATTCGAATTGCGAGCAACAGGGCCAGATAGACCGGGATGGGCACTACCCAAGGGGCCCTTTGGTGCCCTGATTGGGGGATGTGTCTGCCCGGTACGAGGACGCTGCCCTCGGGGTCCATCAGAGGCAGAGTCTTCACGCTTTCTCTTCGCAGAATTATCAACAAGGTTCGTTGGCGGGTTTGAATTTGTGGCTTGAACAACAGGGATTTTAGGGTCGTGTCCTCCCAGTTGCCGCTGTCGTTGACGCTCAGTGAATGAATCTTGACGTTGCTTGAGGTTAAACTCGTCCCTCTCAAGGCGAGATTTCTCAAACTTTGAAAGAACTTTCGTGGACTTGCAGTTGTGGGACAAATGCCCACATTCGCCGCATTCAAGACATCGTTCAGCACGGCATGCAGCCTTGGTGTGACCAGGCTGACCGCAGCGGAAACAGGTTCCTCGAGCATTTTCCTTTGCTTCGTCATTGTCGCAGTTGTGAGTGAAGTGGGCGGCGCTTCCACAGATCCCACACATTTTCGTCGGGTCTAGGCCTTTGCCTCCCCCCGAAGGTCCATCAGGTCGTGGAATTGGAGGTGTACCGTGTTTAGGGGTAGAGACCGAGACGGGGCGTGAGTCAAGGCCAATAGAGGTCGATGAAGGGCGAGGGATTGATGGTGCAGGGGGTTCATAGTCGGAAGACTCTGGGGTTTCTTCGGCGTCAAGGTCAACCATTTCAATTTCTTTGTAGCCAGTGAACTGCGGCTTCTCCAGGATCTTCGCAATATCACCCTTCGTGTAGACATTTCGCTCCCGCGCGTTCTTGATGAGCCCATTCCAGAACTGGCCCTGTTCCAGGGACTGCGAGTTACCTAAAACCCAAAGCGATGACTTGGCACGGGTGAGACCGACGTTCATACGGCGGATATCCGCCAAGAAACCGATACCCTTGTTGGATGCCCGCACACAAGAGAAGATAATGACTTCACTTTCTCTACCCTGGAAAGCATCAGTGGTATTGAAATCAACCTTGTTGAGAATTTCTTCGCCATATCGTTGGGTAAACTGGTTCTTGAGCTCTCTCAGTTGGCCCTTGTAAGGTGTGATGATGCCAATCTTGCCGGCAAAGTCGTATTCTTTGACATCTGTGATCAAACGATCATACAGTTGCATGGCCACTTGTAACTCCGCGTAATTGATCAAAGAATGGCCTCTGGCCGCAGATGAGTGCATGCCCTGAACATCGAAGAATCGGTACGGACTAAGAAGCTCGCTTTGATGCCAGGGACGCTCGCGAAGCTTAGCCATGTCCGGTCCATCCTGCAACTTGCCATCGTAGAACGTCACACTGGGGAAATGACTGATCGCTGGATGCATACGGTACTGGATATCCAGCAAGTGCACGTCTTGAGGGTGATTCTTCTGCATGCGGACGAACAAACTCTGTTCATACTGGAACTTGGAGGCCATTTTTGACAGAACAGTTGGAGGCAACTGTTTGGGATCACCCACAAGAACACATTTCGAGCACCCGTACTTCAGTGGGATAAGAGCACTGAGTTCAATACACTGCGCCGCTTCATCGATGATGACGGTTTCGAACTCGACATTCATGCCTTGGAAAATTTCATGCCCAGAACCACTGAGAGTAGTGCAAATGACATGAGATTCATTGATGATTTGTTCTTGGATCCGCCGTTTGTGCATATCAGCATTACGGGCCAGCGTATGGTTCTGATCACGAGCTTTATCAATAGACGTGCTCAGTTGAGATCGCTTCTTTTTCATCAAGTCAAATTCGCGCTCCAGCTCTTCTGGAGGAGGTAATCCCTTTGCTCGAGCCTCATCGAGTTGTCCACGAAGCTCTTTAAATGCTATATCAGTCGTCTTGTGCTCTTCATAGAGCTTCTGCAAGTCGACACCGTTGCCTTTGCTGGGATCCTGGTTCAAACGGGTATTGACCATCTCATCGAGGGTAACATCCAACACCTTGGTGTTGATCGCGTCGCTTCTTCCTAGACGAAGGACAGAGACTTTTTCTTGTCGACCATGGGCCGTCTTCACACCCTCCTTCAATCGCATGACTAACTCGTCGACAGCAGCATTACTAGGCGCACACAGGAGAAGTTTCTTTGAGAGGGCATTTCTTGCAATAGGAGCACCGTTAAATTTGATCACCTGTTTCCCAAGCACGTCGCTTAGAAGGCTTCCGACAAGCGCGACGATGGTTTTGGTCTTTCCCGAACCAGGAGGACCTTGGATGAGAGTAAATGCATCGTTGTCAACAGCTGACTTGATGGCTCTTGCCTGGGCACGATTGATGGAGTAATTATCCATGATGGGCTGCAGTCTTGTGTCTGAATAAGTAAGAAGAGGTGAAGGCTTAGCCAAGACAATCTCTTCACACAG